AAGGCCGATGATCTCGTCGCGATTTCCCTCTACCACTATCAAACGGGTCCTCTGTCTTGCTGTAATCTCACCCCATACCATAACGCTGCCGTCCCCGAACCGATCATCTTCCATGACACAATGATTGACGTAACGTTCACCTCGACGTCGGTACACTCGAATCCCTCCATCGCTTTGGCTGAGGTGAAAACACCACTGCACCACTGTAGACGTGTTTGACAGTGGTTTCCTGTCAAAATTGGATGTCTGGCGGGTCTTCTGGCGACAATCCCTGCACATCTGAGGCGGCGACGTACGGTTTGTGCAGATATTCGTTGAAGGCCAGGGATGCTTCTTGCAGTCACTGTTGCTGGCTGGAATCGATTTCGTAGGTGTGTTGTTCGAATCCAATCGTCTTGACGATTATTGGTTACACGTGGCCTGCCACTCCGAGGATGGTCTCTGACTGTATTCGTATGTTGCCAACGTTGCCATAAACACCAAATGTTTTCTGTGGACGTTAAATTGTCTTGCAACATCACATTGACCTGATCCTGCTTCAAGCATACCAATGGCTCGCAGACGCTCGTTTTAGGACAGGCGTGGCCTTTCGTAATGTTGAATAATTGCGTAATTTTGTTGTTTTTCTGAGTGGTTGTTGTCAGAACGATGCTAAACAATGCAAATGGAATCCCGTTAACGCACATGTTTTTATACCCATTCTTTGGTAGTGAAGTGCATGGGGCTTGCATAAAAGTCAACTTTTGCATGTAATGCATGCTTTTCTGTAGCAGTTGCGTTTTTGTGACTTGATTCCATACATGCACTACAATATTGAAAACCAAACTTTACTTGTTTGAAAAATACATTAAAATATTGGTGTCACGGGAACTTTTGTTGTTGAGTATATAATTAGGTGGGTGTATAAAAGTCTTAACTATTGTAGATAGAACACGTTTTCTCCCTTAGAAACTGTTTTTGCTCTGTTTTTCCTCCTTTAGTCAGGTCCAAGCAAAAATACTTACTTCATTCATGTTAATAATTGTATAATTAAGAGTATAAAGTAAATATCATTTACCTTCAATGTCTTGAATAATCACAGGTTAGGTGATGGTTAGGTGGGTAGATGAGCAGGTGATTCCATATACTAGATACTACCAAATGTCGGTTTAAGATAGGAAATGTAGTCATGAAAATGTAGTATATCCAATGTGAAAGATGTTTGTCTCGTTCGCGTTTCAAATGCAGCAGTTATCTGCCAGTATTAAACTAAATTTAAGACAATTTAACTAAATTAGACAACTTTTAGTGTAAGGTCTCATGCCGGGAAAATTTAGTAGCTGTATATCAACCTGTGTGGCTTTGTTCATATCCAGTAGGCTTTTAGTGTAGAAGTGTAGTGCAAGAAGCCTTAATTACGACTGCTGTATACAAGTGCAGAGATTCTCCTTCATTTAACTACAGACAAATATTTAAGATATATGTTCGTTTTGCAACACAGTATCAGAATATAGGTTAAATATTCTGAGAAAAAACTGAAAACACAGTATGGCTGGTTATTCCCAAAGTATAAAATAGTGATGAAACTTGAGTTTGCGAAGAGGTGAGATTACGCTGCCCCACCAGTATCACCCGTCACAAACACATGCAAATCCAAGTCAATTATTCATCTGAAAGAAATTGCATTATCCACTATTTATGATTTTGTCAGTGTAACGTCAAATATGGAATGTCCTCCACATGTCTACCATAAAACGTTTTGAGATCTATAGTCAAACAGGCGACTAACGGGATCGGGTGGTCAGGCTCGCTGACATGGTTGATGCATGTCAACGTATCACAATTGTGTGGATCGATGCTGATGATGTCAATCACTGGATTGTCTGGTCCAGAGTCGATTATTTACAGACCGCCTTCATATAGCTGGAATATTGCGGCGTTAAACAACAAACAATCTTTTGTCAACACGCGATCTAAAACTCGATTTCATCTGACTTCATATTTATGTAACTTTCTGATTAAGGTTTACGTAGCTTGGGGCATAAGATTTTCTGTTCCCAAGTTGTGTTGCATTAGATATGTGTTTTCCCACACCGGAAGTGATTATAACGTTTTTATTAAAGTTGCTACAGGAGGTGAAAAGTTGTACTGCAATGGGCATTTGTCTTCCGAAACCAGAAATGATGTCATTAAATCGAAAGTACTTAGAACCTTGCTTTCAATATTGTCGGAATGATTATGGAAATGTTTTGTCTCGCTTTTATTTACAGGAATAGGACTTGTATTTAGCAAGTGTTTTACAGATTAAATCCAGAGGGATGGGGCTACGTTGTACCGCATTAGACATGTAAGTAGAAAAGAGAATATTGTTGACCTCCTCGTACAGAAAATGTTTTCTCATTTGACTAGAAAGATAAATTGATGGTCTTTGCTGGTGCTGTTTAAGCTCTGAAACCGATTATTGTCTATATTCCTATGAAGATCCGGGTAGAATATATCTTCAGCAACCCATACTTGCCGTAAAAGGCGACTATGCTTGTCGTGAGAGGCGATTAACCGGATCGGGTGGTCAGGCTTGCTGACTTGGTTGATGAATGTCATCGTATCCCAATTGCGTTTTTCGATGCTCATGATGTCAATCACTGGATTGTCTCGTCCAGACTCGATTATTCACAGACCGCCTTCATATGGCTGCAATATTGCTATTATGGCGTTAAACAATCAAATAAACAAACGCATATACGACTAACTCTAGTGAGAGTTACCTCCCTTACACCATTGACAGACAGTGTGGAGCGTGGTCAAATTTTACAATAATATAAGGAAATTTACAAAATCTTACAAGTTAATCGTAACATTGGGTGGTAATATAGTTAACATGCATTAAAAAACATAGGACCACCTATTCTTACAATTGTACCCTGAACAAGGTCATCCTGTCACATCCATAATGGCTTGATGTCCGAGGTTTTGAGTCAGGCTCCCAAGAGACGAGTCACTCCGACGACACTGAATAGTACACCACGAGGACCCTTGGTGTAAATATTGAACGTTTAAAACTTGCATGTGTTTGACTTTACTTGTTTCTGTCTCCACCTCCATTTCAGGCGAGATGACACTATCTTGGATAAGGGTCCAACGATATTATTCGTCTTTCTTAATTTGATTATTTCTGTTTTGACGATACTCGTGCTTACACATTGCAAATGAAAAAAGGAACTGCGTTAAAGAATTGAATTTATGAAAGTTTTGTCTTGTTATTTCCTTTCTTACAAATTGGCGTGGAAACGTGACCAAATCTTTGGTAAAATGAACCATCATGACAAGGGTACCTTGAAACCAGTGATCGGTTTCGCGGCACCCCATGTCATGGATGCTGCCGAAGGTAAGCACGAGGAGACGTTTTGCTAACGACAGATCGGTTGGCTCATGCGCTGATTAAATGGGGTCCTCCTAAACATTGATTTCAAATAACTTTCATGTTACAATGTTTATAGATACTTCGTTTTCTAAGATTTGCGTGGTGTTATGCTAACTAGATGTACTGAAAAGCTCCGTTCATCAATTCAACATAGCATCTTGCAAATCGTACAGAACGAATTGTTTATCTCCTTAATGAAGCCGATAAATTATTCTTGAAAATTTGTCAAATTGGGATAATTGAAAACACATTTCCTGTAAAAGACATTAAGAATTCGACGATTTCAAAATGAAATTCTAAGATTTTGTTTCTCTAAATTAAAGATTAAATATATGGGGGAGTGTTTCTGTATTTTATACAAACCTATACTCAGATAAACGATGTTCAATATAGAAACACGAAATCCCGGTATGGTAAGATATCTTTATTTAGGTGTGACAGTCTGAAGCTTTTGTACCGCGAGAAGAATATGGAACACCTGGCTCTCATCCGACAAGATTCCAGTTCCCGACTTCCCTTATGATTGTGATATTCAGGACGCATGCTGCCTTCGCTGACTTAACACTTGTCTTTACTTTTGCTGAACAGTTTACAAACTGTTTGCAATAGAGAGACATAGATTAAAACTTGAAAAGTTTACTTTGGCTTAAAATGATAACTTTCTCAGCCATCTGTAGCTCTTATGTATAGTCTCTTCTTTCAAGCACCAGAATCCTCATACAAAAATTCAAATCATCTGTAAGCGTTTACTGTCACCAGGCATCCATAACTGTTGTTGCACACTAATATTAATTTCAGCAAAACATTCGTGGCAAAATATTGTTCATGGCGAAAAATCCAGTATAACTCTTTGACAAATTAACGTTTTATTGATAAGAGCTGCAGTACATTCGTACCATTGATTATGCATCTAGTTCTATCGATAAGTATATTGAAGTTGGACGTTTAATTAGTCATGGAATTCGCAGATCGCCTATTTATAGACAAGTTTCTTATACCTAGGAAGCCAAACCCTGGTTCAGAATAAAACTACATGTTTTAATATTAATGACGGTTTAAATACGATGGTAAAAAAAGTCAGTTGACAACGACGATGTCAAAAGAGATGTTCAAAGTAAGGATGTTTTACCAAAGATATATGGTTGGTTTTCAGATGTCTTTCTCTTCAGAAAGGATGTCAAATGTCAACACATAAACCAGCCTAAACCAACGGTTGTAGCGAAACAACAGGCCACATGACCAAAACTAGTCTAAGACCAGTTTCCAGAAGACTTTTATAGATATCGATAGAGTTCACCATAATTGAGTAAGTAGACTTCACATTATTTCTTGAATAAATTAAATTAAACTTCGGTAACTATGAAGGCTTTGCATGATACAATGGTTGTGTACCAACATTATTTCTCAAAATGATTGATTATTTGTGTGAGCGAGCGCGAAATGCAAGTGCTATATGCTAGAAGGGTATCTACACGTTCGTGTAAATGACGTCAGGGTATAATCTTTTCTACGTATTATACGTGTCACATTTGAACGAATTTTCTTTTCATACAAAAATAGCACCAAATATAACACCATAGAATGAAGAACAATCATACTATTGATGCCAATATCATTTTATTGAATGCATGAAATGCATGGCGTGATGTGATAACACACAATCACAGACACTGTATCACCCAATGATCACGGCAGCCGGGTGAAGCTCGTTGATGGAAATATTTTCTTCCGTATTTCTTCGTTCCCCAAACATAAGCTTTAGCCGCCTTTTTGCAAAGCCACCGTCTCCCGCAAATTTCCCTCATATTGTGGTAAAACTTGTAATCACATGTTGCCCTTGATATTCCATAAGCTGCAGCCTGTGAAAACAGTAACATTAGTGTAGAATGTGTATAGAATTATAACTGATATTTATTAAACGCTCATGACTAATCGTCAGTTCGACATGTTGCAATAATTTCCATTGTGCAAATCATATATCAAAAGCGTAGTATTCAAATAACCTCAAGAAAGAGGACAAACCAGTTGGTTTTTATAGCAGGAAGCAACCAGCGATGATGTTGATGGCTTTAAACCCCATGGGTGTATTTTTTGTAGTTCTGTAATATGAACGCTGTGTGTGATTTAAAGTCAAATGTTGCTGCAAGCATACGTTTGAAGCCAGAGATCATAGAAAGACTTATGCACTCTTCAAAGGAAGTAGTGGATACTCGGAAATAACTTAAAATTAACTTAAAATCAGGAATGTCACTACAGGCATGTGTGTGGCGCTACAAACATTTCTATTTCATGAGCCCTTATTATTTTAAGAGGATACATTTATTGCACACACCACCCTATGTTTGTGAATGTTTGTCAGGGCTGATTTCATGTCTTCTTTCTGGGTGGATGACTTGGGTTCTTTAAGGCGTATGCTGCAAGGTGAGGTTGAGATGTTGAAGAGTAGGCTGGAGGTGTTCACAGGGCTGCATTCGGACTTGGCTCCTCTGTTGAGAGTTGCAACAATTGCACTGTTATCTAGGGGAGATGGTTGCATAGGTAGTGTATGTACTGATCTGTGAGATGGGGTTTCATGTATACTCAGGTGGTGATGACTTCAGAGACGTTGACAGAAAATGTCAAGGAAGGGTATTCGGGAGTTTTAGTGAGTTACCATGGTTATTGAGGTGGTTGAAAAGGGTGGTTGGAACTTAGTTTTCTGCAAGGATATGGCGAAGGCGTCGTCAACATTTCTCTACCCAAGACTGGCTGGCGGGTAGGGGGATGTGGCTAGGTTAAATTCTTCAAAGCTGGTCACAAAGATGTCTGATTAGTAGTGGGTAACCAGTGGCATAATAAGTTCTTCCAGCAGACACACGGCCTTCCCGTTCAGTTCATTCAGTGAGCTTGTTTTTAACTCGTGGTCAGTCAAAAGTTTAAGGTCAGGTTCTTCATTATAGAAAATAGCCATTATTGTTACCTGTTACACATTTACGGCTTGGTAATACGTATCTTAAGATATCGGATTTCAGTAGGATGTCTCTCAAAGCCGGGTCGGTATTGCTTTATGATATAAACGGTCAACCATGACAACAATAGTCCACTGTTTTAGTAGGTGGTCGATTTGAATTAAGGAAACACCAACAGTAACCTCAATCCTCCAGACGCGATACGTTCTGAAAAGTGAATGTTGTGAAAGAATACAGCCTCTGACTATAGGCTTATGCAGAGGTGTAGATTCTAGTTTTTTCTTCATTTTTAGGGGCCGAGTGTTTTGGGTATAATAAATCATTTTTATTTGGTATAAAAGCATTTTTTACAACACCATATGTAGCCAAACCCCAATAAGCAGTTTTGTTCAAAGTGACCGAAAACTAGTCAACTTAACATGTTTATAATCACAACTGCTTGAGGAAGGTACTTTTCAATCACTTAGATTGTAGATGATGGACATAAATCGCAGAACGTTTGATGTAACCTGACGAACAGGTCCCCATACAGCATCTTGCACAATCAATGGCAATTGCAAATGACAAAATATATCTGAAACACTTACACATGTATAGCAAACATCATGTTTGTTACAAGCAGATTTGAACGTGTTCTTGTAGGGTAACCACTTGACAGGCAATGTGCAGCCATTGACGAAATGGTTGCGATCACAGATCCCGGCCCGGTGCTGTCTCCGTCTCCACCCAAAGGCAGTTGCATCCCCGGTGAACAGTAGCACACAGGCCAGAGCACACCACGTGTACAGCAGACGCATCTGTAAACGTGCAAAAAAGTAAGTAATGTCTTGAGGCAGAATTTATATGAACTGTAGGCTATTAGACAACAGTGTCTTTTTCAGGAGTTGCCAAACTGTTGCGTCAAATATTCATATTACAATAGAAATGTTCTACTTTTAGATACCATGTGTGTACCTGGGGTGACATGTGTCGCCATGACCCTATTGCTAGTCATAAGAGGCAACTTGTTTGTCGTGGGTTACACCCTGTGTCTGTGGAGGAGACGCGCCTCCAAGAGGTCTGCACATCCGTTTCCGGTGGCGTGCGCCTCTAAGAGGGCGTCGCATTCGTTTCCGGGGGTGCGCGCCTCCGGCTGGAAACGGATGCGACGTCCTCTTGGAGGTGCGCACGCCACCGGAAACGGATGCGCCACCCTCTTGGAGGCGCGCACCACCGGAAACGGATGCGACGCCCTCTTGGAGGCGCACGCCACCGGAAACGGATGTGCAGCCCTCTTGGAGGTGCGCACGCCACCGGAAACGGATGCGACGCCATCTTGGATGCGCACGCCACCGGAAACGGATGCGACGCCATCTTGGATGCGCACGCCACCGGAAACGGATGTGCCGCCACCTTGGAAGCGCACGCAGGACCCATCATGCCCTGCGCGGATGCGCAGTCACGTGACCAAACCGAAACCGGGAGTGACGTCATCAGAGGTCACGTGGCCCTCTCGACCAATCAGAAGCCAGGAGCGGTCCTGTAGTACTGCACCCAACTAATAATGGTGTTTATGTGGACGTTAAATTGTCTTGCAATATCACGTTGACTCGATCCTGCTTCAAGCATACCAATGGCTCGTAGACGCTCATTTTAGGACAGGTGTGGCATTTCGTAATGTTGAATAATTGCGTAATGTTGTTGTTTTTCTGAGTTGTTGTTGTCAGCACGATGCTAAACAATGCATATGGAGCCACGTTAACGCACATGTTTTTATACCCATTCTTGGGTAGTGAAATGCATGTGACTTGCAAAAAAGTCAACTTTTGCATGAACTGCATGCTTTTCTGTAGCAGTTGCGTTTTTGTGACTTGATTCCATACATGTACTATAATATTGAAAACCTAACTTTACTTTTTTTGAAAAATACACTACAATATTGGTGTCACGGGAACCTTTGTCATTGAGTATATTTCTAAATCCTCTGCAAATACACACAACCATACCTCATTCTTTAATAAGGACTCTAAACAAGCAAGGAAGACAAGAAAAAAAGCTGATTTCTGTTGATATTCTATTGTACACAATTCATAAATATATTGTAAATGCTAAGGCCCACCGTATACTAGTATATAAACAAGAGGACAAAGTCACCAGTGTCCCTCGCAACGGTAATTACTTGTGAATCAATTAATGAAACTTGAAAAAATCAGAAAACAAACGAAAAGCACCAGTTCACCACTAGACCTATCTTTGTACCAAGTTTTGTGAAGAAATATAGAACGGTCCTCAAGATTTGCCCCGGAGACGAGCACTACCACCATTTCCAACCTAACTCAAAGTTGTTACCATGGAAACTTGAAAAATATATTTTTCAAATTGTACAGTTTTCAAGATCTGCTACGGAAACGACATCTTGCACCGACGGACGCACGTGGTGCGAGCGGACAGGGTCCATTTTAATGCCTCCCGCATACCAATCTTGGCCAAAGTATGTTTTAAATATAATTTGCCATACGACCATATTGTTTGTGTGTTACTTGTGTAACGCCGCACTCAGCATTATTCCAGCTATATGACGGCGGTCTGTAAATAATCGTGTTTGGACCAGACAACCCAGTGATTGACATCATGAGCATCGATCCACGCAATTTTGATACGATGACATACATCAGCCAAGACAGCGAGCCTGATCACACGATCCCGTTTGTGGCCTCTTACGACCAGCATAGACACTTTTCACGGAAGGCATGTGGGAAATTGGTGCCTCTATTCTTTAAGGGGTGCCCATTTCTGGTGTCCCCCGCCGTGATATTGCTGGAATATTGCTAAAAGCGGCGTAAACCCATACTCACTCACTCACTCACTCTTTAAGGGGTTGACCCACAAGATATAGTGTCAAACGTTCCCTTGAAGATACTTTTGACACATTCTGTCTATTTATGATTTAAATTGAAACTTCGAGAGTATTCACTTTATACTTCAAAACAATACTTACTACTTTTAAGGAAATATCTACAAACAGATTAAAGGGGCTGCAATGGGTTCGAAAATGGCACCAACATGTGTAACATTTGTCCTGTGATATCAAGAAGAAGGTTTGCAGATGTTGTGACTAAAACATGTGGTCAAGAGTTTGGAAAGTTTCCATGATGTGTGTTAGATAGATGTTTGCAAAACCTTGCATCCCTTTTAGAATCACAAACAAGCGGCAGCGTCCAACTCATGACAATTGAGATACATTTAGGACACTGCTAAACAACATAGATACAAATTTACTATGGAAACGGATTTAAATTAAATCTTGACACTGAGATTATGAAGAATGACACTAGAGTGGATACTGTACCAGTACCTCAAGTTTTCCCCCTTTCATCCCAGCCACACCAAAAGAAGTTTACCTCAGAACATTAAACGAGGAATATGTACCAGTGTGTCTAATGAAGAAACAGGCTATCAGTGTCCTCTGGACCTAAGGGCTACTTATTGATGAAGGGATATCTGATAACTCATAGAAGATGGAATAGACAGTGTTTCGTTTTATGCAGAGGATGCCGATAGTCTATGCCCGTGAAGACTACGCCCTTACTGGTCCCGGGAGCGCAACCATGAATTTTCCTCCTGAATACCATATGTGGCTCAACCGGGCCGACACCGTCTGGAGCCTAGTTGAATCATTCATGCATTTAGTCAAGCAAGCAAAACCTAATTAAGACGGGCCGACCTTATGTTTAAGGTTTCATGCACACAATTCCGATTCATCTCACTGTTCATTGTTCTATTTGTCAAATGCGACCGAAACCCGGTCCAGTGTAACATGTATGGCATGCCCGTTGGTCACACGTTGCACATGGATGCTAAACGGGTGCTCATCTCGTGTGCAAACCTTTGAACACCGTGCCACATGCATATTACATGCGTTTCTAAATATTTTGTATTCTTCTCAATGTACTTTTAAATGTACATTTAACATGATGTCATTCTTGCGTTAAACCTGCAGTATAAAGGCTGGACAAATTTGTGGATAGGAGATTTAGACAAGAAGTATGCATCTCCATTGATTTCAATTGTGCTCTCTTCTTTGCTGATCTGTTTCTGTAAGCATACTGGTCAGAACAAGGGTATTTGATCTTTAAGCTTCAGGTATATAGATTATATAGGTATTCTGATGTCATCTGGTCAAATAGGCAGTTCAGTGGACTCAGTTTAAAGTAGACATTTGTTATGAATTTGGAAATGGTTTCATCGCTTTAATTTTCATTGATACTGCAGGTTCTAAAATGTTACTTAAAGATATATTAATTAATCCTTAGTGGAACCTTATACCTAGTAGAATAGTTTCAGAGAACATGTTTCTTTCGATGGACAATCATACCATACATGTATCATAAGATAATATGAAAGAACATCTTTGCCAGTTTACTTACCTTGTGCGGCCCCTTGCCAAGTGCTATGATTCAAGACTATTTGAATGCTTATTTTATACAACATAAGTGTGAACTGGATAATGGCCTGAATTTAAGGCGGGTGTGAATGTGTACTGTGAGAGTGCAATAGTTGACACACAGCTGTAAAATTATATATCACCTGTTATTCAATCACGCCTAAATCTACATCTGTCGCAAACGTAGCATGAACGCTCCTTGTTTTGTGATGTTGTCTTTGGCAGAATGCACAAAATGAAACAATTGGAAACAGAATTGGAATAAACTTATTCTCTCCCAACCAATTTCATCAAAAATCTGGCTGTTTTACACGTCATCGATCCCAATTGCGTGGATGGATGCATCATTGGATTGTCTGTTCCAGACTCGATTATTTACAGACCGCCGTCATATAGCTGGAATATTGATAGTTGCGGCGTTAAACAACAAACCACCAACAACAACAACATGGAGCGTTTGTATTTGTTCCTTCCATTAGGGCCTAAAAATGTAACCATCATTATTTTTTTCATCGAACATCTTGGTTGAAATAACACTTCAGATATTGTCACATACATGTATAAGGCTAGTATGTTAACTCATAAATCTGCCAAAGCCATGCAGCGGTACAGTCAACGTTTTACTTGACTCTAGGAACCAAAAGACATAGAAATTACTACAGGAGCGTCTGTCAGATACCATTTATCTGCATAAACGAGTTAGCTACGTTTTGAAACAACGATTTGTTAGATAAATGGTATCTGACAGGCACAAGGGGGGTAATCTGTTTCTTACACACCCTAAAATCGCACCATTTTACAATCGAATAGATGCATATTTTCTCTATTCTCATGATTCTATTCACTGTGGCACATTAATACATAAGAACGTTCATAACTTTTGTCGTCACCCGGCCTACTGCTTACTACCCATACCTAGTGTGACTCTTCACAACATGTGTTTCTGCCATGTCAGTTGATTGTCAGGGCGATGATGATAATGCAAACTAGACACGACCAAAGAACATTGATCAAAACTCTGAAACCACACAGCCTAAACAAAGACGTAGGTGAAAGATTCACAATAATCCTAAACACATCATTTCAAGGACATTCTTTTTATTCACAGTATTTTAGACAAGTGGAATTTATACCATTCCATTGTGAAAAATCAAAGGATTTGTTTGAGAAATAATATGTGAAAGGCAGCACTTCTTCATAGGTACCAACTAAGTGAAATTTGGGCACAGGACATTTAGGCAAAAAGTCAGTTTCCCCATTGGCATCAATTGCGCCCCATTTACTGGGATGTTTCTTTACACGAGTCTGAATGTAGAATTGGCAGAATCAAAACCAAGGAATTTGACCAATAAGTGAGTGAGTGCGTATGGTTTT